TGTATGGCATAAGGTGGTCAGATAACTTTTAATGAGAAAATGGAGTAGTAATGGATTTATGTTCCAGTAGGAAAAAAGTTATGAACTTGAGTATCAAGTTCAAATGGTGAACCCATTAACCAGTTTGGGAAGAATGCGACAGACCTCTGAGGGGATTTGCTGATCTTTGCTTAAATTATTCCTGTCTAAATGTAAGTATTGGACTCCACTTTAACAGTGTCGTGGTTTAAACCCAGTCAGGTAATTCGTTCGCTCACTTCCCCCCCTTTTCTTGCCCTCCCCCTGCTCTCGGAGGGACGGAGAGGAGAATCGAAAAGAATGCAACTCCCACAGGTTGAGATAAGAACAGTTTAGTAACTAAGGTATAACACAAATCACTACTGCTACCACCAATGATAATAATGATAAAGGAAATAACAAGGGAAGAGAATACAACATCTCACCACCAGCCAACAGATAACTTGCCCCCCTCAGCCCGACCAAGCACAGACCGATACCTCCTCCAACCCTGCAGTCTCCCAGCCCTTCCAGCTAACTCCCAGTTACATCCTGGGCATGACGTGCTGTGGTATGGAATACCCCTTAGGCTAGCTTGGGTCAGGTGTCCTGTCTCTGCTTCCTCCTGGCTTCCCCTCCCCCCTGGCAGAGCATGAGGCTCACAAAGTCCTTGGCCAAACCAAAACATTGCTATCAGCTCTGTTCCCGAGCTGAAAGTCAAAACACTGCACTGCACCAGCTACCAAGAAGGAGAAAAATGACTGCTACTGCTGAACCCAGGACAAACAGTTATGTATAACTTTGAAGTGTTAGTTCAAGGAGTTACATAGTTTACAAAAGTAGTTGGTGAAGTTAACTTGCAGTTGAATACAGGAGAGGCTCAACTGCTTTGAATCTGAGCTGATACTAATGCTATCAGTTATTGTCAGATCTAAGACCAAGTTAAGCCAAGACTGTTAGTCACATTTAATTCTGGGGACTGTACTCAAAGGCATCAAATTTAGTTTCTGGCTATGTCAGCCCTTAATTATGTTAGCATACTTAGATATGGAATATTGGATTAACTCTCTGTACCACTACTGGCTTCATCATCACCAGTGTGCCCAAATCAGTTTTAAGCTGTATTATATATATAATTTAACTTGTATCAAATTTTATTGTTAGGACACAAAAGATAATTGATTTGGATAGAACATGTTGTATTGGAAATGCTTTTTAATGTATCAATTGTCTTCAAATTCTTACATGCTCAAGAGCATATCTTTAACTGCACATAGAGCATCTTCCAGGCTGTAACCCATAAACTACTGCCCAATGCTTACCTGTAATTTATGCGCTTCTGAACCTCTTTCTAGAGTTTTGAGTTTCTAGTTGCTTAAAGATAAGGGAATACTTGCCTTCAGTGATTGCAGAAAGACTGCAGTAATTGTAATACATATGTAAGATTTATTTGCTGTTTATATACTGTCACAGCTTACTATGTTTTACACTGGAGGCAACAGCAAGAGTTTGCTTATATATTTACATGTGTAAACATATAAGCAGAGATCAAAGCAGAGATCACACCTTTATTAGGCTGTAGCTTTTATGACAGGACAATATTACAAATTCCATACAGGGCAAATGTGGAATATCCAAAGTGGGAGATGGAAAGTAAGCATTGTATATTAGACAAAGAATTGTCAGCAAAAAAGCTCTTCTGGAATTTGGGGGATAGGGGATTGTTTTGTTTTTGTTTGTAGTTTGTTGTTGTTTTTTTTAATGATTTCAAGAAGGTATGTTTAAAGTTTTTAATGACTGTTTAGAGATCAATCTGTTATGTGTACATTCACAGTGTACTTCAACTGCTACCTGAATGCAAAGTTTTGGAAAGATTTCAAACATGGAACAAAATCCAAGGGATTCCTCTAGTATCTGAGATTCATGAGCCTTTGATGATAATGAAAGCATCCTGAAATAAGTTTCTTCCTTGAAATCAATTGCTTTTAATATTCATTTTAGAAGCTGAATAACCATATCAGGAAGTAAAGTTCTAAACTTGCAAACTCAGTTCATACCCTGTTTATCAAGATGTAGAATACGCTACTATGAATATCATTTCAGATCCTAGATCAGTTAAGATTGAACTTATTATAGTTCTTTTTTTCCCTGAAGGAGAAGGACCAAAGAGGAAATCTCATGCATTGTGGGATGTATTGAATTCAAGAAGGTGGATGATGATATCAACCTACCAGTTCTCTCTTCTCTACCTTGTCTGTCCTATCAACCTACACGCGAGTGTAACGTAGTGATATGTTCTGTTTGTACCCCGCCTCACCTGTGCCTCTGAAATATGCAGAATCAGAAATGGGACTTGATAAAAGTTCATCCTGATTAGGAGATAATTGCCATGTATTTCTGCTTAAAACTACTTTGTTTGGACAAAGTTTTTGCTGTCATGATCTGTCTCATTCTGATTTCACAAAGGAGCTTCAGCTCTCACTAACCCAGCACTGGAGACTGTGAGGGAGTGTACAAGGCCAGAGGTAGCTCATGCTGCCAGTGGGCACTCTTTTTTTCAGCCCCAGAAAAATCTGAGGCCCCTACCATCACTATCTGCCAAAAGCAAAATTACAACTTGAAAAAACACTTTCTTCTTCTGATGTGTTACCATATTTGTGATTGTAAGAAGCACTGAAGTTTTGTGTATTTTCATTCAAAGGAAGGAGGATGACAGTAAAATGTTCTTGTAAGAGAGCTGTTGGCTTGGATTATGTTTCCAGCAGTCAGGGAATATGCTCTCCTGTTTGCTGCTGCAATGGAGAATGACTACGGGGAACTAAACTGAGATGTGAGCTATGCAATTTGCGGGTAGGTTATGCTAATTTGTGCTGTGACTTACAGAGGGTTACTCTGATGCTTTGGGATGCAGAAAAAGTCTCCGTTTATACTGTATTTATTTCTGTGTGAATATATATTTGTTTTGGAAACTAAGGCAAAGTGTTACGAGGATTTTAGCCGGTAGCCATATAGGACATGCTTGTGTGTGAAAGAGATGAACCATTTTAGAAAGGAGCCATGTCGTAGCATGTGTAAAGAATGTAAGTTACGTAAAATGGGTGACCGCAAATCTAGTTTGAGAATGGAGGATGTGAGATACATGAGTATTTGATGCCACCATCAATTTGAGGATGACCATGGGTATCATGGGATAAAGAGTTTCTCAATTTTATGAGGGTATGGGTTTTGGTCTGTGTTTAGTAATAGGAGATGCAGTCCTGGGGAGCTGGTGAGGTGAGGCTGTGACCTATTAGTCAGCTCTGTGGTTATGTAGTTTGCATATGAGTCAGTTATGGTAGTAGAAAGAAATATGATAGTTCAATGAAAGAATATCCTCATAGTTTTTTTTCTAATAATTAAGTCTAAGAACTTGTTTGAAGACTTATTTTCCTCTGGCAGCTAGTTCATGTATTCAGCAACAACTCTCACACCAGCTTCTCCTCCTTTTGTTTGGAGTCTGAGCTCTATGACTATGAGACTGTTCATATTAATGGCTGAATTAAAACACAGATTCTGCTTTGGCTAACTGTGAACCATTTTAAGAGGAACCCATGGGGGCTGGGAGGGAGGACCTGTAAGGAGATTAAAAGTTAGGTTCCCCCACTCATAAGTAGCAAAGGGAAAGTGGGGATGACTTTTTTTTAAGCCTGTCAGCTAGACAGGGTACAGCCCTGGCTGTGACAGGCACAATTTCCCCTCTTTTCTGTACACCACTGAGACGCTAAAAATGATTCCCTGACTGAATAGCTACCACCTGGCATGTTACTGGTTACTAGTCTCCCTTGCAGTTACTATTCAGGTACTATTCCTTTTAGCTGGATTTATCTGATTTGCTAATGATTTCAGCTTAAAACCATGCTTTTGGGAATAAGCAAAAAATGGTCTTCTAGCATTTTTTATTCTTCTTCTTTAAATTTACAATTTTTGATTTTTTTCTTTTTGTGATGCTGACAAAACTCACAAAAGGATAGCAAGTAGTTGTGGGGTGAAAACAAGTGAGAGTGTCCTTGCTAGGGTATTGATATTTCAGTCCATCACTGCTAAACATTACAAAGCCAGTCGGATGGGAGGGAGTCAAGGCAAGGAAGAGTGACTAGGACTTGGGGGCAGTTTTTCAGGAAGTGTTTTGATTGTAATGGAAACTTACTACCCTGCTGCAAAATACAAACACTGTGTGTTGTCAAGAGGCAAGAGCCGAGGGAAAATAAAGCTGGGCCTCAGATAGCAGAAAACACGTAATGCAAACAGGCTGGGAAGGCAGGTTTGTGGTTACATGGGGACTATAAACCCTTGAACTAGCCAAAGTGAATAGCTTTCAGCCACACTCTCAGCTACAGCACGATTACAAATTATTCCATCACAGCATGATTACAAATTATTCCATTACTAATCTGTTGTTAATGAAAGTAAAATTCAGATGCAAGTTTATCAGATGTTCTGTGTTTGTACTCCCAAGGCATTTGAAGAAGGCGTTATGCGCCTCAGTCTCAGGGATAAGTAATCCAAAGCAGAAGATAGAAGACATGGTGCTGTTACCAACAAACCTTAAAAGAAGGGTTTGAATCAAGGAAAATATTTCTCTGTTCACCTTGAACTTTGATCTCATTTCCAAGAGTGTATGTTAAGAAGGCTGCCAGACAGTAATTATGGAAATGCCGGGTACTGGCAGCAGCACCTGAATGTGCTCCTAAATTTCTGAAAATACAGTGGTAGTATCTCCCATGAAAAGTGAAAAATCTCAACCAAAGCAATATGCCTCCAGGACACACGCTTAATAGCACAAAAATTGAGTTTTTCCTGTTAAAAACAATATTCCTACAGAATTGCAACACATACCTGTGTCACCTTCACATAAAACCTATACACTAAGCAATTCTTTACCTCCCCCTCCCACCGTATGCAAAAGCTTTGACCGTGCTACAGCTAAGCTACAGTTTCTGCTTTGCAAGCTTGGAATCACTTACCTAAAAGATCTTGCTCCTGCAGGACTAAAATGAATGCCAGCACCCAAAGGAAAAGCATGGTTTCAGCCTCTCCAAGCTCTGCTGTAGTCCTGGTGGAGAGCTCTGCAGCCTCCCTCCCGGCTTCGTATTGACTCCTCCGTCCAGCCGTTCGTGCTGAGGTTTAGCCAGAGTTAGGAGGAAATATGCCCAGGCTGAGCCAAGATTCTTGAGCTGTTCTCTTCTGCTTCCCTCCTTTTAAAAACACACCCTTTCCAGCTCCATGCAAAGTCCAGTTACCCAGGCAAGCTGGCAGTTATCCAGGCTCCCCAAAGCTACATTTTCTACCCTTCTGTTTATTTATGCAGACTACAACTGAAACATGCTGAAGAGCTTTGGGTCCTGTAAATACAGAAGTTGGGCAAGAAAAGGAAGAGAGAAAGGAGGAGGAAGGGGTGCTGTATGTTTCTGTCCAGGATTTCATCTAGGGTGAGGAAAGCAGGAATGCTGAAGAACACAGTATCTTTAGATCTTGTGAGCTTACAGGGCTTTTTCTATTATTTGTTCATTTTGAAGACTACAGAAACATCTCTTTTGGGCAGTACAAAGTGTAGCAGTGCTGTGGCAAGTGGCAACTATCTGTGGTGCTTTGTGTTTGCATGGTATCATAGGAGCTGAGGAGCCATCTGAGTCTTCTCAGTTTGGAAGGTTTTTGAAATAGGTTTGACTTGGTAACATCACGTGCAAAAATAGTTCTGCTAATGGTATTCTGACAATGCTGTGATTTTTAGCAGGATCTTAATTAAATGTTAATTGTCTTGAGTGTTCGTGGGCGCTGACTGGGTGTCAGTCCTTGACCCAACTAGACTGGTGTTCAAAGACTTAACATATCTCCTTCCTAGTATTGTTCCTCATATTCACTTTCGTTGAGTTACCTTTTTCCAGACTATTGCAAGTAAAAGCTGAAAAGCCATTAAGTGTCCTAAAGGCCATTGTCCAGGATAAACAGTGTTCTCACTGTTGAAAATGTTAACCTTCAGACTAGAATAGATTTCCTTAGTCTTTACCACCTCCTTAGCAGTCAGAAAATCAAGTTATTTGTAGAAGATATCTGAGAGTGAGCCTATAGAGGTGTTATCACGGAGTTCAAGGTATAGTAATCCTCAGTGACTTCCAAATCAAGTTAGATTTTAAGCTTAATTACAAGACAAAATAGCATCAGTAATAAAGATTCTGTGATTGGAATTTAGCTAGAAACTTTGTTGAGGCACTAAACTAAACAGGGCACAGAATATCTTTGGTGTGTGTTGAGCCCTCAGGGCTGGTGCTAGTAAGTCAACATTTTTATAAAATAAAAATGAAATAGGCTGTGGGAATTCTGGTTGTTTTGGCCTAAATTGCTACATAGCAATACTGCAATTTTAAAGAACTCTTGTTTTAGGAATAAATCCGATCAGTCCTGCTGAAAAATTACATAAATTTTAATTTTGTTACAAACAGGTCGCTAGAGAGGAACTGTGACAGGTGACAGTGAGTCCACTCTCTGTTTTATTCTGTTTGAGTATGAGACACTGATGTGGTAAGCTGTGATTTTTGATGTGAGAAATTATTTGCATGTTGTCTGTGCTTTGGAGAGAGAAGACTGAGGGATGGAAGAAGAACATTTCTGAGGAGTTGCCTGCTGTTTTCTGAATATGTTTGTGCTTTATCTTTGTACTTAAGCAGAATTACCCCATTCTTCAGCAATCTCTGTACTGCAAAGGGAGCCTGTTTGTGGATGCTTTTCTGCATGCTCTCTGCCGTCTTCTATGCCATACTATTAAAAAGGAGTGAACATTCACTGAATTGGTTTTCCTTTCAACACATTATAAAAACAAAAAAAGCAGTTTCCATTCCAGGCCACCTCTCCTGAGGTTACTCACCCCCTTTACAACATATTTCCTCGAGGTTCCTCCTGATTTGCTCTCAGGCCCCTGGAACAGTTCAGTCCCTCCAAGGCACTTGCTTTTCATTTTTACATATTGTGTTATGTTTTACCATAGTGAGGTGCTGGTAATATAGCCATGGAGAACTAAACAAAATAGTGAGGGTTTTCTTTAGTATTGTACTCCAGGGGTTGTTTTCGGTAATGAGAGAGGAGTCTTTTCCACTGCAGGGAAGTGCAGCCAGAAAAGAACACCTCTGCCAAGTAGGATTCTGGTTTTCAGTAGGACTACCTGTCCTGAGAATTTTTATTTTCTTAGTTAATTTCCTAAGATGACTTTTGTTATTTATAAATAGTCAGAATGAAGCTACAGATGAAGACAACTGAGAACATAAAGTAAAAAGAAGTCCAGAGTGTGACAGAAATCTTTATATTGCAAAGCGGACTTTTTCAGCGCAAGATTTGAGAGCAACAGAAAGATCATGATACAAACCTATCTGTCTATGAGAAGTTAGTCAGTAACTGATTACTATCAGAGAAAGCATTCTTTAGCACATTCATCGTGGAAATGTCCATATATGAGAATACAGTGAGATCATATGAATGTAGGTTTGCATAAAATCCAGCTGTTGAGATGTTCCCAAGATACCAGCAGCCAAAAAAAGCATACCAGTGAACAAGGATGTGAATGTTTGCCAGCAGTCAGTCTGCTGAAAGGGAGAGCAAGCATAAGGATTAAGTCTATTTTGTGAGTGGGTTTGGGGTCTTTTTGCACAGCTTTTCTGTATCTCTTTCTTGGACTAGCCAAATGCTTGGCAAAAGCAATAAATAAGTGCACAGTGATCTCACAGTGTATAGGATGAAGGAACAGAATAAACAAAGGCATGTGTCAGCAGAGGAAATTTGCCACGTGAAAAAGATCGTACTGTTATTGGGCATGAAATTTTTCAGCATGGGCCGACAGATGGTGTAGCCAAGCATACACTTGGCAAAAACTAGAGTGCACTGTACTGCAGTCCTGTGGGACTATAAGTGAGACAGAGGGAAGGTAAGATTAAGTGGAGATAACTTCAGGGAACAAAAATATAGTGGAAAACCCATCCTTGTAGGAAGAGGGAAGCGCCTTACACTGAAGAGAAAGAAATGAAAGAGGATAATCTCTCTTCTGGATTTAGCACTGGTGGATGATGAAATCAGTGCAAGGTTTGTGTCCTGCCTACCTGCCTCTGGGAGAAGATTTGTGTCCATTGAAGACTGGAGGTTCCTTGGGCTGTTGTCACAAGCTTAATGTCTCCTAGCTGCTCATGACCAGAAGTTTTTGCAGCTTAGAGGCTGTTAAACACCTTATGTAAAATGAGGCTTGTTTCATGATCGTTTTAGAAGAAGTACATTATTTTCAGTCAGTTTACTTAGTTTCTGGCTGCTGGGTTGAAATGGTAGTTGGATAGATGTGGAAGCAGAATTTTGTTACCTGAAGGGGTTGATTTCCACAGAGCAGGTATGCAGCTTGTGTACTGCTCCTAAGGGAAGCAGAAGCTTGCTCTGCAACTGGTACATCTGTTTGGTGAACAGATGAAAGGCCTCTTGCAGTTGTGATTTCACCAGAATGAAGTAGATGTTGCTATTTAAAGTGTTTGGTAGTAGTGATTCTTAGCACCACATCCCTGATGGCTCCACTGAGTTTTTTCATGGGACAGCCTGGGTGTTACAGGTCTTGTGTGCTGCAACCTTCAATGTGAATACCTTCAGGTTCTGTGCCAGTGCAATCCCCTCTCCAGTCTGTTACATATCAACTTGTACTAGTTGTCCTGGGTTCAGCAGTAGCTGAACATGACTGCTACTGCTGAACCCAGGACACTAGTGTTTATTATATTGATTTGCAAGGGACATAAAAAAGTGTGAAGTTCTCCTGCTATTGTCACAAAGGTGTAGTCTTTGACACTTAAAAAATCTATCACATGGTTGATGGTATGAGGCACTATAAAGATCAGCTCTAATTGTACCCTCCCTGGAGAAGTTAACTAACTTATGTGTCATGGAGCAGACAACTGATCCAGCCTTCTTCAAAACAATACATTTTGTACTACACCTAAAGCCAGTAGTGAGTCAGCTACAGGAATTAACTGTATTGTGTCATCTTGGTGCCAACATACTAGGCTGCATTCTGTTTGCCATCATTAGGTAAGCATCCTATGGCTTCAGGCTGTTTTGCATCTGTGGCTTCAGCTTCCTGAGCAATCATCTGCAAGGAAACTGAATCAGAAAACTGAAGGAAAAGGTGGGTCACATGGAATACTGTTGCATGATGTTGTTTGTTTTGTATTTTTAACCAATTATTAGTTTGTTTTGTTTGACAGATTTCATGCATTTTATGAAACCTGGCCAATGCCTTGAAAACTCAAGGAAATATGGTACATGATATGCCTGCCCAGTGCAGAGAAATTAGAATTTTGTCTTAACAAAGCTGGATTAACTATATTCCCAGCTAAATTAGTGACTCAGCAAGAGACTCTTGACTCCCAGTTTTATATTGCACACATGGTGATCTGATAATATGTACTATATTTTGTATTACAGAAGGCTGGGTCCCCTTGCTGTTGAAACTTTATGTCCACCCATTTGAGTCACATAAAAATGTGAAATAGACCTGTGAGTCCATGACAGATAATATTCCAGTAAATAATACTCATGGAGGAAGTACTTGATTATTCCCAAATTAGAATTACTCAGCTACTGTCCTTAGTAAATCAATATTGCAAAACACACTAATTAAATGAGATAGTTACACAAAATTGGACCAGCATTTTCATTCTATGAAGGAGCAGCTATAGGAAGCTATTCATCTGCTGGATAGCACCTTGCTGAGGACGAGTCATGATAAACAGCAGTAAATCAGAAGTCTTTGTTACTTAACATCTGTGTACCTTTCTCCATCAGGCAGTATATCAGCCATGAATATGAAGCCTTTGAATACAGGTAATATTTACCATATAAGGGCCTAGTGAATCAGAGAAACAGCTGGATATAAATCCCATTTTTGATTACTAGTCAGCCTATTCTCCTTTCCTCTTAGTTACCACAAGGTCATGGACAGATGCAAGGGAAAGAATAACTTGGCAGAAAGAGAAGCCAAGCTAATTGTTCCCCTGCCATCCTTCTGAAAATTACAGTACATGTAATATATTAAGCAAATGTAGTAAAAATCCCAGGTTAAGGCTCCTTTTAAAGTATTTGTTGGAGGAAATAGAATACTGTAGCAGGATGGTAGTAGTTCCTTTGTTATTACAGATCACTCATATCTTTAACTGCAAT